TGAGTCATATGACTTTTTAATGTGTGTATGTATATGTTTGTATGTGTTCAGGTGCATACATACTGCAGTGTGTACATGGGCATGTGTAGGTCAGACATTGACATCAGGTATCTTCCTCAATCATTTGCCACCTTAATTTTTGAGACAAGTTCTGTCACTAAACCTGGAGCTTGCTGATTCAACTAGACTGACTGGCCAGTGAGCCTCAGAGATCCTCTTGTCTCTGCCTTCCCCGCCCCACCCAGTTCCCCATTTCTATGCTCTTCTCTGTCTCATTTCCTTCTTGTGTCTCCTTTAAGTCCCCTAGCCTCCCAAATGTGAGTACGTTCCCACACTATGATCAAGTGACCCACAGAGCTGGCTCTCTGCAAGGTGCTTGGCTCAGACACTGCCCTTCTCCCTCCTGGTTCAGCACAGCTCTTCAGAGCCTGATACACCAGTGGTTCCTTCCTATAATAGCTCTTACTCCCAGTAAGGCTGACAGGAACTCAGAATTAGACAACCTGTTTCTTGATTTGACTCCTAAGACCAAATCCATCCCTGTGCCTGTATCCTACTGGCCTCCCAAATTGAGTCTTAATCTAAGCACACTGTAAAGAGCCTCCAGGGCTGCCTGTGCCCTGTGTCTCCATGGCCCAGCTCCCACTGCTCCAGGCACATCCTGCAGTGTTCAAGCCTTGTTCCCCATGTCTTTATTCAAGTCTAGAGAGGTTTGACTACCACTCCTCTGGGCCCTGGTGAATCTGTCAGATAAGTGTGTCCTGCCCATGGCTACCAGCAGACTACAGGTCCTCATGGGCTGTCCTTCAACAGCATGGGGCAGCCCCAGAGAATGGGGACACCATCCAGGACGCAAGTTTGGCTTCAGTACGCTCCTGGTTGTCTCCTGACTGTGGGCATGAAGCCAGCCATGACCCCTTCTCTGGACCTGCATCCTCCTTGCAAGGGCTACTCTGTCCCCTTTTTACTTATTGGTATGGGAGTGGTTTAATGGGCATTCTGCCACCTTCTTGGTGGTACCCAATGCCAGGCAGTGAGCTTTCATTTGTTCCACAGAGCTTCGGGCTGAGAGAAGAGCATACCTGGCAGTAACCTGGCAATGTCAGACTGGGAAAGGAAGGTAGTGTTCACGTTCCCCCACACAGTGGCAATTACCCTGTGAAGACGAAGCCTGTTCTTGTGTGGGGATGAAGGTACCACCTGCCACCTACAGGTCTAGCCACCCCTACCCCCCTCCACTGGGGCTCCACAGCTGAGTGCATGTTTCCATAATGACACTCACTCCTGCCTCAGTGGTCAGTGGGATCTAGGTCACTTTAGACACCCTGGCTGGGACTACCGCCTGCTGCTGGACAGCCCCATGGCTGCCAGCTGTGGGTAGATCACACCATAGTGCAACCTCAGTGCTAAGAAGACCCACATTCCTGGGTTTGAGGCCTAAATAAGCCACATAGGACCACCAACTTCAGAGAGCACAGGCTCCAGCATCCTTGCCTTAGTTTCATTTCTGTTGCTATAGTATATTTATCCTTACCAAAAGCAACCTAGGGGAGAGAGGGTTTAATTGGCCCACAGTTCAGGTTACAGTCCATCATAGCAGGACCTTGAAGCAGCTTCTAGTCACATCTACAGGCAAGAGCAGAGGGGAAATGAATGCTGGTATGCTTGCTGTGTTCAGCCCTCTCTCTCCACCATCTAAGACACCAAACCTAGGGAATGGTGCCTCCCACAGTGGACCAGGGCTTCCCACATCAACCAATGAGACAGTCTCCCACAGACATTCCCATAGGCCAACTTGATCTAGATAATCTCTCATTGAGACTCTTCCCAGGCAGTTCCAAATTTAGAACTAACCATTGAAGTCCTCAAACCCCACCCAGCATCCTGTAGGCTCTGAAACCCACCTTCCAGCCAGGACACACCTACCTCATCCTCCACTGCACCCAGCTTCCAGAACATGTAACTTCAGTCTCAAGTCTGTCTCTAGGGGCCACACTGGTGTTCTGCCAGTGTCTCCTCTTCCAAAGCACCTACATGTAACAGGAACATGAGTAGCCATCCTGCATTGGTTATAGCCACAGCCAGTGGGACCCGCTTGGCCTGAAGGTGTATCAGTCAGCCCTGCTTCTTCTCCTTCTTTGGGAACACATGGCAGCCCCTTCACAGAGCAAGGATATCTGAAACCCACCAGTAGTAGAATCCCTCATAGGTGGGCCCTCTCCACAGCTAGCTTGGGAGTGATAGCACCTGAACGTGACATATGAGTTATATATACCAAAGGCTTCCTCCTGCCAATAATCTGTTATTGCCTCTTGGGAAAATGCCTCTGGGCACCTGCCGGATTCCAGTCCTGGCCAGGTACACGTATTCAAAAGTGCCTGGACACGCCCTTCTACCAGGCAGAACCCACTGCCTCTGGGAGACAAATCTGAGACTTGAACAGTATACTTTGGGAGCAAAAAAAGGTGAAGACTTCAGGGAAGGGATGACCCAGGGGGTCACCTTGTGCCCAGGTGGAAGATATAAGAAGGAACTTGCACAGACATGCAGAAGATGCAAGAAGGCAACTGAAGCTGCTAATTGGTGTTGGTAAGACACAGAAGCCTATAAATGCACAGACAGGCCTTGTTGGATTTGCATGGCAAAGGCCCTGATATGGCAGATGCTAAACACAGCAGAATGCTCCCTCCCAGGCCTGTAGAATGGCCTGCAAGAGGAGGCATTTGTGAAGGCCAGATGTGAGGGCATCTGCCTGCCATCCTTTGAGCTGTGTTGTGAGGTCAAGCTTTCATGCACCATTGGACACACTGAGTCATCATGTCTGGTTTGCCCAGCAGCCAGGCCCATCATTGGTCCATATAAGTAGCCAATCAGAAAAGAACACAACACAGTGACACCAATCTGGGGTGGCCTTGTGGTGCCCTCCTAGGCTTCATGCTGTGACCCCGGAGTGTGCCTGCTGAGGTTTCAGGCCCACTTTGACACTCATTATTCCAGCCTCATTTCTGTTGCTGTTATAAAACACCCTGACAAAAAGCAACTTAGGGGTGAGGGGACTTATTTTAGCTCGCAATGTCAGATTATAGTCCCTCCATGAGGGAAGCAAGGCAAGAACTTCAGCAAGTCACATCACATTCACAGTCAAGGGCAGAGAGAAAGAAATTCATGCACTTGGTTGTGCTCAGCTCAATTTCTCTTACATAGTTCAGGACCCCTTTTTAGGAAATAGTGCCAGCTAGAGTGGACTGGATCTTCCCACATCAATTAACCAAGACAATCCCTTATGGACACGCCCCATAGGCCAACCCGTGACTAGGTTGTATCAAGTTGATACCTTACCATTTCAGTATGTAAGAATGAGTTTTAGAATAGATGTCTCCAAAACAACTGTAGCTGCTAGGAGGCCCAAGGTCAGCAGGCTGAAGGTAAAAGACTCATAAACTGAACAGAGCCATGGCCTCCAAGAGATAAAGAAATTGGCTGCAATCATCACAGGCCACAGGATTTGAGCCATGTGCGCATCTGACTGTGGGGGGCATTAGAGACGGGAAACTCTGTTGGCATAAGAAGCGTCTCTATTTGAGGAGAACCAAATGATATTCAGCATTGTAGTTCCAATTCACCAGTTGAAAACTCATCTTGGACTGGTAAGATAACTCAGTTGGTAAAGTGTCTGTCTTCTAAGCATGAGGGTCTGAGTTCAATCCCCAGAACCCACATAAAAAACCTGGGCATGGTGGTGTTCATTTGTAACTCCAGAGCTGGGAAAGAAGAGGCAGACAGATCCCTGGGGCTCCCTGGCCAGCCAGCCTAAGGTACTTGGTGATTTTCAGGCCATGTAAGATCCGACAGCAAAACACTAACAAAAAAACAAAAGTGGATGGCATCTGAGAAACAGCTAAGGTTGTCCTTGGCGCGCGCATGCACGCACACACACACACACACACACATTCAATTGAATCTCAACTTCTCCTTTACCAGTGGTTCTGCATCTGAGTGACTATGTGATTCAAGCCAAACATCTGCCCTGGCAAATCTAGCCTTCTTCTCATCTCTGGGCCACGAGCTCTTTGCATTTTACCCCTAGTATTAGTATTGTCATGTTCTGTATTCTATCCATATTCCTAGCATGCATGCTTCCTTCTCTGTACAGTCACATAGGAGTCTGCTCAGCAGACTCAGTTCTAGAGTTCTACCCACCAGATGGGGTTGGTGGTGACAGCTGTGCCAGCATGCAGCTTTCTTCATGTATGCATTGCAGGGCCAGGGGGAGGGCTAGTATATATGAGCGTGTGCTCATCTGTTTGGAGGTCGGAGTACAACTCCAAGCATAGTTCCCCAAGTGCCTTCCACCTTTTGTTTGAGACAGGGTCTTTGTTGTCCTAGAACTTCGTCAAGTAGGCTAGACTAGCTAGTCAGTGTGCTCCAGGGATCTGCATATCTCTGCCTTCCATCTTGGCATGGCTAGGACTCCTAGTGCACACCTACTCCTGGCTTTTACTACCAGCTCCAAGGATCGAACTCAGATCCTCATGGGTTTTTTTTTTGTGTGTGTGTTTTGGGTCTTTTTTTGAGACAGGGTCTCCCTGTAGCCCCAGCTTTCCTGGAACTCACTATGTAGACCAGGCTGGCCTCGAACTCACAGAGATCTGCCTGCCTCTGCCTCCTGAGTGCTGGGATTAAAGGCATGCGCCACCAGGTCCTCATGTTTACAAGACAAGCATTTTATCCACTGAGACATCTTCCCAGCTCCCATGCAGCTTCCAATCAGTGTCCACTGACTGGTTCTTCTGAGGTCTGATTCTGAGTTATAGGTGGTAAAGGAAGGTTGGCATAGAAAATAAAAAGAACAGGTTTTTCTGGAAAGCCTCCCCACGAGTGTCTATGCATGTCAAGGGCAGCTTGTGTGGGGTCTCATGCTTGCATGGCACTTTACCAATTGAGCCATCACCAAGTCACAAGCCATAACACCAAGATACCCCACGCATTTGTCTTCACAGGCCTCCCACCCTGAGCGGCAGCCCCGTCATCTCTGATATCTCCTTGATCCGGCTTTCTCCGCATCCTGCTGGCCCTGGGGAGTCTCCCTTCAGTGCCCACCACCCCTATGTGAACCCCCACATGGAGCACTACCTCCGGTCTGTGCACAGCAGCCCCACACTCTCGATGATCTCTGCAGCCAGGGGCCTCAGCCCCGCTGATGGTAAGTAGTGTTGGGGACAGAAGGGACAGCTGAGGCATTGGGGCGCAGTCCAGGGGTTGGCCCATCATTGCTCACTCTTTTGATTTCTCAGTTTTGGAGTCCTGTGACCAGGCTGGCTTCCTTCTCACTACCTCTGAATGTGGATTTTTGTATGAGTATGGCTTTGTGTGTGCGTGCGTGTGTGTGTGTGTGTGTGTGTGTGTGTGTGTGTTCATATGTATTGCAGGTGGGGGGTTGTGCATACATTTGAACTCGGATTAACCTCGGATGTTGTTCCTCAGTACACTGTCCACTTTCATTTTGATTACACTTATTTGTGTGGGGTGTGTGTGTGTGGTCACTTGTGTGCCATAGCATATATGTGGAGGTCAGACGGCAACTTGCAGGAGTCAGTTCTCTCCTTCTGGCATGTGGGTTCTGGGGATCAAACTCAGATTGTCAGGTTTGGCAGCAGGTGGCTTTATCTGCTGAGTCATCTCACCAGTTTACACCTTTTTTGAGACAGGTTCTCACTGGGACCTTGGGCTCACTAAGTAGGCCAGACTGGCTGGCCAGCATGCCCCAGGGATTCACCTGTCTCCACCTCCGGAGCACTGGAATTTCAAGCTCACACTGTCACACCTGGCTTTTTACATCGAGACTGGGGAATAAGATTCAGGTCCTCCTACTTAAGTGACAAGCACTTTACTGACTGAGCCATCTCCCCCGCCCCATGAGCATGCATTTTTAAGTAAATGAGTAGTAAATGCCAAGAAATTTAAGAGTGCACTGGGCCTGTGCTGATCAGAGAACCCTTTTTAGGTACAAATCTTATGTGATTTACTGTCACAGAAATGGAAAAGCTCTGTTCACATAAGTCCTTGTGTTAACTGTTCACGTAGGTCCTTGTGTTAACTAGCTTTTCATTGGCAGCATCTGTGTGACTGAGATCTGAGAAAGTCAACCCAAGGAATGAAGGATTTCAGTCCATAATGGACTGGCCACATTGTTCTCAGGCCTGAAATAATGCAAGACATCATTAGGGGAAGAGGGCCTGCCAAAATAAAGCTGCTTGCCTCATGGTGGCCAAGAATCAGAGGGAGAGTAGAAGGGATTGGGTACAAGACACACTCTTCAAAGTTATCCTCTAACCAAACCCTACCTCCTACTTCCTTTCACCGTCCAGTAACTATACCAAATTTTGATTCCATGAATGGATAAAGCAATTGAGTAGGTCAGAGGCCTCATGGTCCATTCGCTTCCCCAAAGTACCACCTCTGAACATTGTGCTGGGGCCCAAGTCTTCAATACATGAGCCTCTGCGGAACATTTCATATCTAGACCATAGCAGCCACCTTGTAGGAATGAACTATTAGTTATGATAAACAAAGGGCTGCAGAAATTGGCATTAAATAAAGGCTGTTGTGTAGGAGTGTCTCCACATAACTCCACACCAGAAGGGAGGCAGAGCAGGGCTGGCTGCTGCTTTCATGTTTTCTGTCCCCTTTTTGATCAACACAGATGGCCTCCAAATGGTAGTGAGGCCCAAACCCCCAAGGATGACTTAGACTTGTGCCTCACAACTCAAATGCTTGAGAGAGAATGGATCAACCTTGATCCACTGATCACTTGATCAGATTAATTTAAGCTAGAAAAGATAAGAGTCATGTGATACCAATACTGCTTTCAGATCTACATTATTTTCTAGTGACTGAGGAGATGACTCATTTGGTAAAGTGCCTGCCACACAAGAATGAGGACTTGAGTGTGAACCCAAGTGAAAAATAATAATAAAGCCAGGCCCAATAGTAGAGCACTTGGAATCCCAGTGTTGGGGAGGCAGAGATAGGAGGCTTGCTGGGGCCTGCTGGCCAGCCAGTCTAGCCAAATAATTAAGTTACAGGTTTAGCGAGAGATGTGACTCAAAAAGTAAAGTGGAGAGCATGTTGATCACTGGCCTCCCTATGTTCCAGCAAACATGAGCTCAGGTGGTAGTAGATAGGCCACAAGGGTCTACTCTGAGACCTCAGGCCAGGGGGAGTTTTTCTTTCCTTGAACAGTAAATTCTTTTGTGCCCCCCTCCCTTCCTTCTTTAGTGGTGTGTGTATGTGTACTCAGAGGCCAGAAGAGGGCATCTGGTCCCCTGGAGCTGGAGTTACAGCCAATTATGAGACGCCCAACATAGATGCTAAGAACCACACTCCAGCTCTCTGCAAGAGCAGCAAACACTCTTAATGGCTGAGCCATCTCTCCATCTTTTGGACAATAAATTCTGACAATTTCTTTCTCTCGTTTTCTACCCGCAGTGGCCCACGAGCACCTGAAAGAAAGGGGACTATTTGGCCTCACTGCTCCAGGCACCAACCCCTCAGAGTACTACCACCAGATGACCCTCATGACAGGCCATCCCGCTCCCTATGGGGACCTTCTGATGCAGAGTGGGGGTGCCGCAGGCACACCCCACCTCCATGACTACCTCAATCCTGTGGACGGTGAGTATTACCGTGAGAGGGGAAATGGCATGGGGGCACTGACAGGTACCACTTGAGGCTACAGAGAGTAGTTCTTCACTCTGTTTGGAAGCAAGGGACCCTAAAGAGAAGTTTAGAGTGTGCCCTAACACTGCCTATACTGTGGGCCAAAGGGGGACTGAGGCTGAGTGACCAGGGCCAGGAAGAGTATTGGGCATGGTGATAATTGCAAAGAATGAAATGTACCTGCAGTATAATGAGGAGCTACAGACACCACCCAACACCAGGAACTGGAAGGCTGGAACAGAACAGAGGAAATAAAGGAATGGGGTGAAGTGGGGTATAATTTGAAGTGAGAGTTATGTCTCCCTGGGAATGTGCTAATCAATAGACTAGAAGATGCTACCCGAGCAGAGGTCTGAGGGAAGAACATCCAGGCAGAGGATCAGCAGGACAGGAATCTCCAGTGTAGTTGGTGGGAAGCAGGTGGGAGGCAGGAATGGGACTGAGGTCAGAGTCCTGGGGTGGGCTGTGCCAATCAAGTAGGGCTTATAAAGACCTTGGCCTTTGCTGGAGTGAGATGGGGCTGTGGGGGCCCGTGGGGGATGCAGAAGGCAACTCATCCCATGCTGATCTGAGAATCGACTCAGGGCAGGTAGTAATGGGTCTGGTTGGTAGAGCTGTAGAGACAGGTCATGTTATGAACAATTATGAAGTAGAACCATGTGTTCCCAGATCTGATGTGTATGGAGTTGCAGAGAAAGAAAAGTATATTATTTACTTCTTCTTTGCTGTGACTGAGGCTTCAGGTCCCTAAAAGAAAAGAGAGGGTAGAAATCTGACCAAAGCAACTTAAGGAAGGAAGGGGTTACTTTGCCTCACAGTCTGAGGTCCATGGTGCAGGAGCGTGAGGCAGCTGGTCACATTGCATCCACAGTCAGGAAGCAAGAGAGATGAATGCTGGTGCTCAGCTCACTTTCTTCTTTTTATTCAGTCCAGGACCCCAGCCTGTGGAATGGTGCTGCCCACATATGGGGTGGTTTTCCCCACCTCAGTTAACCCAGTCTAGACAAACCTCAGTATTAACCATCACAAAGAGACAATGTCTGTGCTAGTGTCTGGAGCCTGGGGGATAGGAGGATCGGACTGTCAGTGCCTGAGACAGAGCCACAAGCTAGGCTGTTTTGCATGGTGTGGGAGGTCAGATGTTTGGGAGAGATGAGGTCCCAGGCATTCCTTCTTGCCCAAAGCCATCCTGGGAGATACCACACCAATTATAAGCCACCCAACATAGATGCTAGGAACCACACTCCAGCCATCCTGCCAGATACCACAACCCTCTGACCATGAGCACCTGGGTCAGCATACAGCCCCAGCCAGTGGGAAGGGAATGGAAGTTCAAGACTGCTGCTTCTCTCCCACTAGGCATTGGTTCACCTGCCAGTCCTAGAGCTGTCCATGGATGCTTGGGATTCAGGCCAGGCAGAAGAATAGGAAGCCACCACTAGGGACCAAGCTGACAGCTCCTGCATGGCAGCTGTCCTCTAGCCTTCCTGGGAGCAGCTTCTTCATGCCACAGTAACCTGTGGTGGGAGGAGAGAGGCCTGCAGAGAGATCATCTGGTCCTGCAGGGCAGCAGGTTGAGAATGAACTGTGGGCAGCTGTTTGAGGCCAGGCAGAGCCGCAAGATTGAGAGTGGACCTGCTTTGGCTAGGGCCTCAGCTCACACTCGGGCTCCCATTCCTGGGCTTCCTGCCATACCCACCACTGCAGCCCCATGTCATGGCCTTTCTCCAACTGAGCTAGTCTTTTTCCCAAGGCCGGAGTAAGAGCCCGCCTCCTCTAGGAAGTCTGTCTAGATGCTTCCTGCCTCCTTACCATCTGCCTCTTGCCCCTGCAGCCATAGAACATATGCCCCTTGGTTTTCCTGTCTGCCTCCCCCTGAGAGTTACAGGAGTCCCCCCTCCAAGGTAAAGAGCTTTCCTTAAGAAATGTACCATAGTCCTCACAGGCCAGCCTCTCATGGCATGGTCCCTTGTCATCTTGCCAGTCCCTGAGGGCAGGCTGCTGCAAGCCAAAGGGACACCACCAGCATTCAATCCCTGTGTCTGTCCCACCCTTCTGGACCTTCCCTTGAATGGTGTTGGGTCCAAGATTAAGCGCAGTGTAGGGTATTAGGTCCCGTCTATGGCTCTCCTTCCCCGTCCTTGCTGTCCAGGGAAGCATGTGGTAAGCTGAGGAGGGTTCAGGGACATGCTGGGCATGCTGTTTTCCAGTGTCAGAAACCTGACCAGAGCAGCATGAGGCAAGATGACAGCTGAAGTCAAAGGAAGAGCTAAATCCACATGTCAGCTTCTACCACTTTGGGTCACCTCCCTCCAAGACCTAGAGCAAGATGTGGAAATAGCCAACACCTGGACAGATGCATTGACACCATGGCTGAGAGAGGCCGAGCTGGGCAGGCGCCCCCATAAAGCAGAAGAGGCTGAGCTGGACAGGTATCCCCAAAAGCAGGAGAGGCTGAGCTGGGCAGGTGTCCCCACAAAGCAGGAGAGGTCTAGCTGGGCTGCCAGGAGTCATCTGGTGACAGTTATCCTGCACTCTGCATAAGTGCCTTTGAGCAGTATAATGCATGCATGTAGTGCTTTGAGCAGTGTAGTGCATTGCAGTTCTATAGCTGGAGTTAGGACCCTACTAGGATGAGCAAACATGTTCCCAACATCAAAGGACATGCCTCAAGCATGTGGGTGGGGTTCCAAGCCATAGCACACCTCACTGCACCCTGAACCTCAGCCTCAGGGAGGCAGCCAGGCAACTGGGTTGGGGTCAACCCAGAGCAGCAAGGAAGGAAGTAGAAGGGAACCAGTGCCTGATAGCTGGGAAACCAGTGAGGAGGCAGCTAGGACTTGGGTCTGCTGCTGCTCCTCATCCTCCCTGGAATGTCTGGGCCTGGAGATGATGGTAGGACATAGAGACCATATGCCAAATGGATGGGGGTGTGGGGGGTGGGGAGAGAGAGGGAGGGAGGGAGGGAGCGCGAGCCCTGGCTAGCATATGTCAGTATTAGCACTCAGGGCTAGTTGTGACCTTACCTCCAGGCTTCTGTCTCTGTTGTCAGTACCTTGTTCACTCAGTGTTTACAAGGGATAGACCTTCCTAGACACCTTGTCCTCACCATCTCCCCATGCATTCTATGGTACATCCATGCCAGACATGGCTTGTCATCTCTCCCCAGTCAGAGTACCATGAGTCAGACCCCCACCCACTCAATCCAGAGTTGTCAGGGTCAGAGTCTGGGCTCTGGACTTGGCCACCTATCCTTAATAAGCCAGTTAAACAGAGAAGTAATCATGAAAAGCAAAGAAAGGAGATTTATTCCATGGGGCCACATTGGGAAGAGAAACAAAAGGTCCAGTGGCTAAATCCCCCACCCTCCACAAGTCCATCTCTGGGGTCCTGACATGAGGTTTAGGTTTAAATAGAGAGCAAGAGGTATGCGTGACTTAAGCAGTCCCAGTCAAGGTGTGGTCCAGCCATCAGTGTCTCCTGCAAGGTGGTCTGCCAAACTGTCAGAACTGTGTGAAATCTCTTCCTAGGAGATAAGCTCCCCCCTGGCTGGCACCAGGTTTCACCTTTACCTTTTCCCAGCATGAGATTCCTGGGAAAATTCCAATTTCTTGGGGTTCATTATTTATCTGATAGCCAAGGGGAAGGTCCTAAGTGTCTTCTTTAAATATTTTTTATTCAGTCTCATTGCTGGTTCCTAGGATGGATCCCCTGATGCCTTCCCATTTTGCCTGTCTGTGGTCCCATCCTCAGAAGCTTCGGGGCTAGCTAGGGCAGCCCCCAAGTCTTCACTGACATCAAATCTGGACACCCAGGCCGGATGGCTCATAGCAAGCAGGACCCACTATATGCTGGGGCAGCAACTGGCACAGCAGAACAGGTTCACTAAGAACCTATTCACAGATACAGGTTCATTAAGACAGAAGCCACGAGAGTGGGTAGGGAAGCACCTATTGACTGTGGGCCAAACTCCCAGCATTTGGCTACATCTGGGGTCTGAGTGAGTCTGAGAAATAGGAAGCACAGGGCCAGAGGAGCTCATGGGCTGGTAGGAGCACCTGCCTCTAAGGGACAGACATCACTCACTAGACAACTCATCATACCTGTCCTCCTCTCTCCATTTCTGTTTAAGATCAACAGATTCCAAGGCACCTGATCAGTGTTGGAGTGACAGGTGGAAGCTTGGGAGAGACCTTTCTCAACCACAGATTTTATGAGCAGACAACTGCTTTTTATTCTTGGTTCCTAATGTGTAACAACCCAAGAAAACCATAGTAGTCCATAATGATGCCCTACTTCTCCTGTTTATCACTACACACTAGGGTTTTTTTGTTTTGTTGTTTTCCAAACAAATTTACTCTCCCTTTTTAGGTTGGAATCTAGTGGAATCTAGGGCCTCACACATCCTTAGCATGCACTCTACCACTGTGCTACACCACACTCTTTTTTTTTTTTTTTTTTTTTTTTTTTTTTTGTTTTTTTTTGAAACAAGGCCTCCTTGTTTAGTCCCAGCTGACCTGAACTCACTATGTAGACCAGGCTGGCCTTAAACTCAGAGATCTGCCTGCTTCTGCCTCCCAAGTGCTGGGATGAAAAGTGTGTACCATCACGCCCGGCTTGCATGTACTACATTTATTTGGAAACTGTGTGTGTGTGTGTGTGTGTGTGTGTGTGTGTGTGTGTGTGTAGGTGCCCTTGGAGGTCAGAAACGTTGATTCCCTGGAACTAGAGTTATAGTTGTTAGCCTCCCAACATTAAGTGCAATAACAGTACCTTAACCTCTAAACCATCTCTTCAGCCCACATTTATTATTTACTGTCTATGTGTGAGCACAGATGCCATAGTCCTCATTTGGAGTTTAGAAGACAACATACAGGAGTCAGTTCTCTCCTTCCACCATGTAGGACCAGGTTGTTGGGCTAGACAGCAAGCGCCATTATCCACTGAGTCAACTC